CCTGACAGGGCTCGGGGGACCAAAGGTGGTACAGAAATTGGGTGGGGTTGGGGTTTGGCTAAATTCACGGCAAGCGCCTGACCTCTGGCATGCACGCTCTCTCTCTCTCTCTCTCTCTCTCTCTCTTGCGCGCACATGCGCACTCTCGCTCTCTCTCTCGCTCCCTCTCTCTCTCTGTTTGTGTGTCTCTCTCCCTCACTCCCTCACTCTCTCTTGTCTGTCTCTGTCTATCTCTGTCTGCCTGTTTCTGTCTCTATGTCTCTGTGTCTCTCCCTCCCTCCCTCCCTCCCTCTCTGTGTCTTTTTTTCTCTCTCTGTCTCTTTTTCTCTCCCTCACTCCCTCCTTCTCTCTCGTTCCCTCTCTCTGTCTCTTTCTATGTCTCTGTCTGTCTGTCTGTCTCTGTCTCTGTCTCTCCCCGCCCCCCAGTACTGGTTTTTAGAATGAGACCTCAGGTGGGTTCTAAATTATGGAAAGAAGAGGTCTGTGTGCTGGAGGGGCGCATCTGAGTATCCCTGAGTCTTGGCCAAGGCTGCCCGGAGCCGCGCGCCGTGTGTTGGTATTGCCGTTCCATCACCGTCATCTCCCCACCTGCAGCTGGCCATGGCAGGCAGGCTGAGGTGGCTGTGTGCGGTCTTCATCGGAAACATCTGGCCGTCCCATCTCTGTCCACAGACATATGCCTCTGGCAGCAGAGCCTCCGAGGCTTGTCACAGCCCCCGCCGAGGGACCATGTGTCTGGGGACGCGCCGTCTCCCACACCGGGTAGCAAAGTTGCCGCAGAAGCCAGGATCTGTGCCCGAGCCCTGGGCCAGGGGCAGCCAGACTGGAAAGAGGGATGAGGACACCGTCAGGGACACGAGGGGCAAGAGCCCATGGAGCCAGATGTGTCCCAAGAGGATCAGGAGGAAGAGACAGAATTTTCCCTGGTGGCCGTCTACCTGGTCCAGCCACAAGAAGAATGTCCCTTTCCATGGGGGCCTGGACAAGCCGTCTGACCTGGGGGCCTTGTCATTTCTCAGATGTGAAGGCAATCCCGGGGTGGTTGCATTACCCACATCACCTTCTGGTCACGGGGCAGGTGGACTCTGGCATGTCCCCAAGCTAACCCCGCTGTTTTGACAAAAGAAAGGCCAACCCACAACTCCTGACCAGCGCCTGAGGCAGGGGCCCTTGAATCGGGCTCTTATCACACACGGAGCCCAGGCAGGTGAGGACAGCACGCAGCCTGAGTTGACAGCATCACCCGCCCACCAGTGGCAGGAGGAGCGAAATGCCCTGGGAAGCTTACGCGGCAAGCCCGCTCCACTCGGGTGTCGGCCCGACTCCCTTGGTTCTTCCGGGCAGGAGAAGCCCTTGTGCCGTCATAGGCACCCAGCAGAAATGGCTGTAGTCTTCGGGGTTGAGAGTAGAGACCGGACCCTGCTGCTCTGCCTCTCCCGAGCGGGAGATAACCTTCTGCACCACCCAGGTTGATGCCCTGGCCTGAGGCTGGGCCTGCCTGTCTGTGCCCACACGCCCTTGGGAAAAGGAGCCAGAGATGAACAGGTGCCCCCAGGCCCTGGGTGCTGAGAGAGTCTGTGGGTGGTGGACAAGCCCCCCACTCTGCCAGCAGAATGGGGTAGCTGAAAACTTTCCAGTGTGCACCCACAGGACCCGATGTCCATCCTACCCCTCGGCCAGTGCTGTCCAGGGGCGGCGGTGTCTTCTGCCCTGGCTGGGCACCTGCTCATACCATCGCTTCTCAAAGGGTCAGAAACCAGCACTCACTCTGCATCGACCCACTCCCCCAACTTTGGGTTCATCAGCAGCACCCTAAAAGCTCACACCGCCACCTCCCACGTGGACCAGAGGAAGGCAGGCTTGGAGAGCGGGGTCCCGGCTCTGCCGAGGGGTCACCACGCCAGCCCAGAGGCTGGAGAGTGATCACAGGTTCCACCTGAGCTGCCCCTGCCTTGGTGGGCGAGTGCTGGGAGGAGGTGGGGGGAGCCCCGTGGCACCTGTCCCCCCAATCACCCTGTCCCTCTGTCATGACGGAAGGAAGGGAAAGCGTGGTTCGGTGGTACTAGTCAGCTTGCTGATCAGTGAGTATCAGAGGGAAGCTGGCCAGTGTCCGTGCAAGTCAAGGCTCCACAAGCCAAGCACATCCTTAAGCACCAGGCGCTCGCTGGATAGGGGAGCATGGGAGTCGGCAGCCCCGGGCACGTCTCAGTTTCCCCTGGGGAGCTTAGTCCGAGGAAGGCTTGGTTTGGGGGTCACAGTCGCAGTGCTCAGGGGAGCATGCCATGTTAGGGCCTCCTCATGCTTTGCATGCCCTTTGAGTCATCTCCCCGGCCCCAAAGGAAGAGTTTGGTTGGAGAAACGAACCTGATCAATCCACACCCTGTGAGGGGTTTTCTTTTTCTTTCTTTCTTTCTTTCTTTCTTTCTTTCTTTCTTTCTTCTTTTTTTTTGGTTTTTGTTTGGGGGCCACACCCAGTGGTGCTCAGGAGTTACTTTCAACTCCGCACTCAGGAATTACTCCTGGTGGTGCTCAGGGGACCATATAAGATGCCGGGGGTCGGCTGCATGCAAGGCAAGCGCCCGACCCACTGAACTATCACTGGCCCCTAGTTTGTTTTTCTTAATCCTAGAGGGTCTCTCTCTCTCTCTCTCTCTCTCTCTTTCTCTCTCTCTCTCCCCCTCCCTCCCTCCCCCGTCCATCCCTCCCTCCCTCCCTCTCTCTCCTTCTCTCTCTCTGTTTCTCGCTCACTCTCTCGCTTTCACCCCCAACCCTGGGCTTCTAGAATGTTCCTGGCATCGTGGAAAGGGCAAAGGGCAGCCTTGACATGGATATATGAGTGTCTTTGTTTGCCCACAGCAGGTTTGGATCAGGACTTCTTGGCACTGCCCATATCTCAGTGTCCCCACCCCCAACAGAACTTCCTTCAAGCCCTCCCCAATCCTAACGCATATGAAATTAACCGACAGACAGTGCCCCCCCCCCCACCACCACCAACAACAACCTGGCTCAACCTCATCCCCCAGAAAAGGGCAGCTTGCCGGCTCATCTCCTGATGAGCTCTTACAAATACACGGAGCCGGGCCGGGGTGGATACCCCACCCCGAGGGGCCCCCAAAGGGCTGTCTCCCCTCCAGCAAGTTCTGCTTCCTCTGAAAGGAGAGGAAAGTTCCCAGGGCTGAGTTCTGCGTCGAGGGGTCTCTGACATCTGTCTGTGGCACGCTGGGCTGGGGAGGCGCCTCCCCCCTCCCCCTGTTTTGCCAGCATAGCTGGAGGGGCCCCCTGCGCACGGCATCACGGAGGGCTAATTGGCTGCCGAGCCGCCTGCAGCCGGCTCGCTTCTCCAATTAAATCCCCATCATCCCGTTGTCCTGGCGACCCGCTGCCGCTCTCTCGGGCCGGGCATCTCTGCTCAGGTGAGGATGGGGGGCGGCGGCGTGCTTGCTTGCTTGTGGTCCTCGCGAAGGAAACCAAACGCTTTACATACTGCGTTTTGGGGCGCGCGCCGGCTCTTCTAATTAAAGCCCTTCTCCCGAGCCCCCCTCTTAGTCACGAACTCCGTGCCACATCCTTCAGCGCTTAATCTCGGCGCAGAATTGGAAATATCGATAGAAAGTGTAAATCACGCCCTCCTGCTGAAGGCGTTGTATCAGGTTTCGGCTCAAAAGAGCACCATTACCTTTAGCTGTCACGGATCTGCACACTTGATCGATAAACTTCAAATATTATTAGAGGTGGAGGCTTCAGAGATTTGCTCTGTTCTTCGGAGGGAGACGGAGATAAATCTTTCTTAAAAATTGACTTGAATTTGCACTCTCAGTCTTCCTGGTGAAATGCATTTCTCTTAGACGCCCGGCAACTGCGAGGGGGACAGATTTATAGGCCATGTGCTGCTTGTACTGAAAGATTTAAATGGTAAATCCTTCACATATGACTTCACAAATCATGTAAAGTTAAAAGATTTTTACCGTTTCTGTTGCTGCTGTGCTTAAATTGTAAGGTACAGCCAGTAAATCATTTTAATGGAGGTGTCGTACTTGGCTCAATATGAAAAAAATAGAGAGAGAGAGACACCGGTTTAGCTTCCACTCCAAAATGTTAATGTATTAATCAACAGGAGAATAATTGTTTTTTACTACATTATAAATCTCAGGTGCCGTTAGGGCTTCGGCAAGGGGCGATGTCGCCACATTCCTGCGTTGAAATGGCTTACCAGGCCGCGGCGTGCACCCAGCCTGCATTGTGTTGCCGCAGCTCATGCTGGCTCGCCCTGGAGTCTCTCTCCAGCCAGACGTCCTGCACTCGGGGAAGACGTCCCTCCCGGGGAGGGATGCTTAGAAAGGGAAGTTAATTGCACCGCGAAGTGTTAAATAAATAAAATGGAACCTGTCTGTGGTCACAGACGCTCCCTCCCTTGCCGTCGTCTTGGTGGTGGCTCTGAGGTTGGGCGTGGAGGACCCCTCGAAGCCCTCCAGGCCACCAGCCCGTCCCTTCCCCCAGAGCGGCAGCCTTGGAGGGTCCACCCTCGGCAGCAATGGTGTCCGGCGCGTCTGAGTTGCTTGCTTCTTACCGGGCATCGTCCCAAGCGGGAACTGTCACTGGGCAGCTCAGAGATGCTCTAGCCCCCCTGACTGCTGGAAGTCGCCCTCTGGAGTAGCTCAGGGTGTCAGGCCCTGCAGACCCCTGGCCAGCTCCAGACCCGGGCCAATACCTGTCCCCCTTGCCTGCCCCCCAAACTTGTTTCGCCTTCATGCCCCCTTCATGCTGCTTAGGGTGGAAGTTGCCCTCTGTGGTGGAGGGGGAGTGTGGGGGGGCGGGGGGCAGATCGATGGTGCCACAGGTCAGTCTGTTTGCTCAGGGTCCTGCGGGCTCCGTCTGTTGTCTCGGTGACTCGCCCTTCGGAAGCGGCGCCCCTCTGACACCTCGAGGCAGCGTCTCCCTCCGGGGGCCCCTGGTGTCTCTGGCCGAGCGCTACATGCCCGCTCCTCTTGTGATCCCGACAGATTCCCGAGCCGGGGAGGAGGGCTCCATCCGGGCTGTGGACCACGCCGTCATCGGCGGCGTCGTGGCCGTGGTGGTATTCGCCATGCTGTGCTTACTCATCATTCTGGGCCGCTACTTCGCCAGACACAAAGGTAAGCACGGTGCCGGGGCCGGCCGGCGGCCCCCCTTCAGGCTGCCATGGACCCCCGTGTGCGCGCAGTGTCGGGGGTGGAGGGGTGGGGGGAAACGCTCTCTGAGGTCGTCCTTGACGGGCAGCCCTGTCTGCATGTGGCCACTTAGCCTCTCTGATTTCTGGGCCGGGAGGAGGCGGGGGGAATGACAGCAATTGTCGCGGCTGATGAGGCTGGGTGCCACTGAGGAGTGCGCCTTGATTTGGCATTTCTCTAAATACCGAGCTTTGTGGTTGTGCGATTCTGCCTTCCCTGGTCGGGAGGGGGCGGGGGAGAGAAAGCCAAGGCCTTACGATTGGGCCGGTGTCAAAGATAAGGGGTGAATCCCCCAAATGATAAACCCAGCAAAAACAAAAACAAGCTCACAACCTATTGCTTTGGGGGGAGGCAGGGATGGGGGGTGGGGGTGGGCGGCGGAAGCGCCAGCTTTGATCTCGGACCCCAAACTCGGGCTCAGCTGGTCACAGCGGCTAGAATTCTTTCTTGGCACGATGTGCCTTAAAAGCCACATAAATATGTATTTTTAAAATTATCCGTGCAATTGATTTAAATTGCCATTAATCATCACACTTACCAACTGTGCCGTGTGGTTTGGCAATCATCCTTCCCAGCGCTCCCCCTGCCCCCCCTAGACCCCACGCTGCTTGGGTCCTCTCCTCCCTCTTAGTAATTTATTCTTCCTTTTCTTTGTTGGCCCTGTTGGTTCTCGGCTCTTTCCCCCACCCCACCCCCACCCCTCACCCCCAGCTCTGCGTAATGCGGCTGTGGGTTTTCCTCCGACCCCGACTCCCGGTGCATTGGCCTCCAGCTCGGCTGGTGCAAGACTCCGGGAAGCCTCCCTGCACACGGCTGTGGAGGCCCAAGGCGCTCGACAGCACCTTTAAAGGGGTCCAAAGGGCCCCGTCCCGGGCTTAAAAAACAATTTGGGGCCCGAGATCCAGCATGCCCTGTCCTCTGCCCAGGCTCTGGAGGCAACGGGCTGGGCTTCGGTCTGTAGCCGCTCGGTGGTGAGTCTCACGGAGCCCCTGGCAAGGCCTGGCAGCTGTGGAGTGCTGGACTAAGGGCAGCACTGCCCTGCAGAGTAAAGGGGCGTACAGGAGCCAATGCTGGCCCACCTGCCCGCCTCTCGGACTGGTCCCTTGGGGAACCTGAGAAACGGCAAGTGGATGGGCTGGTGGCAGGGGGATGTGCGTGGGGGTGTGTGCCTGCGTGGTCCTCAGAGTCTTGGACGTCCAGCCCTGGAGGCGGGAGGAGGGCCGCCTGGCCGGGGAGGCGGTGCCTGCACGCCCCGGAGGTGTCAGTGGGAGCTGGACCACCTGATCTTCCTGCAGCCCGTCGGGACTAGGTGCTGAGAGGGTCCCCCAACCCCCTTCGTCAGTGGGTGCCCCCGGTCATTCCAAAGTGGCGGTGGCTGACCAGCAGGTCCTTGCATCGGGTGCAGGCTTCTAGCGGTGACATCCGAGGTGCAGACGCCCCGTTCTTGAAGCCAGAGCCCCCAGCCTCGCCCACCGCGGTTAGAATCTCACGCCCTCTCTCCAACCTGGCGCGGAGGGCAGAAGACAGTGGCGAGGATGCTAGCACATCCCCGGGGACGGGGGTGGGGGGAGTGTGCCCTCCTTCCTCCATCGGCTAATGGCTCTTCCTCGCTTCGGTCCTTCTCCATGTGCGTGCACATCCCCGCTCACTCACGGGTCCTGGGCGTCCGCGGTCTCACGCCTTAGCCAGCAGCTCACCGGCTTTCTGCATCGTTTTAGCTCCCACCCTCGTCTCCTCCCGGCCATTGTCACTGCTCTAATGTCTCATCTGCTGAATTATATCGCAGCATTTCGGTTGGAGTGGTGCCTTTGGAACCCCCGGACGCCCCCCGCCACCTGCCACCACCCCCATCCGTCTCCTCCTCCTCCTCTTCCACCACGTCCCCTCGCACCCCCTCGCTCTCTCCTTCCGATCGTTTTTCCCCCCCTCTGCTGCCTGCACCACCTCTGGGGCTGCTGACGGCCACCAAGCCCGTGGCCATCCCCACGCCACGCCGCCCGCCCGCGGCCCGGCAGACAGTCACGGTGCTTTGCCCCTTTCCTCTTGCAGGCACATACTTCACTCACGAAGCGAAAGGAGCCGACGACGCCGCCGACGCAGACACGGCCATCATCAACGCAGAAGGAGGGCAGAGCAGCTCGGAGGAAAAGAAAGAGTACTTCATCTAGACCGGCCTTTCTGTTTCCATGAGGTGTCCAGCCGGCCCTATTTAGCTGATAAAGAGACAGTGATCTTGGAACTTGCGAGAAAGTCTGTGTGTTTTTTCATGGATGGGTGGAAAGGTGTGAGACTGGGAAGGCTTGGGATTTGCTGTGTAAAAAACAAACAAGAGAAATGTTCGTGGAAAAAAAAGTACATTCTGCTGTTCGACACCTCTCTTATTTTTTTGGTTGGTTTCTCATTTTCGTTTTCCTCCTCCCAAGTCGATTTTGCAGTCTTGGATTTAGTTTGGATAATTGCAGAAAATTCTGTGCCTTGTTTTTTTCCCGTTCTTGTTATGGTTTGTTTCTTTGTCCATTACATCCCCCCTCCCCCCTGCCTTCCCCCCTTTTCCCTCCTTTGTGTGCATTTATTTTTCCCAAAAATATTTGGGAAATTTTTTTGGTTTTTCTCTCCCACCCCCAACCCTCCCCCAAGATCTCCCGTTTTGGAATTTGCCTGCTGGGATTCCTTAAAAACCTTTTTCCTGTTATTATTTTTATTTTATTTTATGTTAACTCTTGTTTGTTTTGGAAGTAACTGCTTTCTGTTCAAAATTCAGTTTCCTTTAAAAGAAAAAAAAAAAGGAGAACCAGCACAGTTTAGATCTCCTAGTTCAGAATTTAGTGTATTCATAATGCATTCTTCTCTGTTGTCGTCAAGATTTGGGTGAACTATGAGAATTCTCCGCTGCGACCCATGTTTCGAATACTTTAGAGCGGCGGAGATTAGAAACTTAGACTGTGATTCCGAAACTGTTCTGTTTGCTGTGGAACTACATTACTGTACAGGGTTATCCGCAAGTGAGGTGTGTCCCAATGAGGGTGAATCTGTCTTTAATTCTGTATCTGTAGACGGCTCAGTATAGATACCCCACACTGGCTATAGAAAGGTCTGGGTGGAGGGGCGCCTCCTTTTTTCTAATGCCCTAAGCAGACCCCACTGGCGAGGTCTGTTCCTTTTATATAAGTGGACACTTGTGAGTTTGCCACAGGAGGGCAAGCAGGGAGGGGGGGGGAACGCGAGTTCTGCTCTGGTTATTTCGGTTCCAAACGTTTCCATCCACCTTTCCCAATCGGCCTTACTTCTCACTAATCAGTAGGGAAAAAAAAAAAAAGCAAGTCCGTGTGGTGTGCGAATGAATGGGACAGGTTTTTGGGTTCTTTTCCCCCCACTTTATGCTTAGTTAGGAAGGCAGTTAAGACGTGGCCTGCATGTACTGTATATTACAGATATTTGTCATGCTGAGAGTTCCAACTCGAATCCATGTGAAACTTTCGTTTCTTTCGATTTGGCTTGACAAAGGCAGGAGGCACCAAAAACATAAATAAATAACCAAAATGGGGCTGGGATCGCTCTCCCACTCTCCGGCTGGCCATCTCCGTTCTGGAAAGTTCGGGGCAGAGGTGGGAAAACAGCATGTAGGGATTTTCAGTTACTTAATCAAAAGTCAAATGTGAGTGTTTTTATCTTTTTACCTTTCATACACTAGCCTTGGCCTCTTTCCTGAGCCTTAAGAGCCATCTGCCAAATCCATGACCGACTCTCCTGACGCAGCCATAGTGCAGAGACGCTCAAGCCCACTCCCCCCAAGGGAGTCGAGGCTGGAGCCCGGGAAGAGGTGAAGGAGTCGAGCGACCCTTGGTTGATTGGCCCGGAGTTTTTGGTTTGGTTTGGTTTTGGTTTTTTGGTGTGTTGATGTTTTTTTTTTTTTTTTGGTTTTTATTTTTTAACGTGGAGATTTTCACAAACGTCTCGAAAATCTAGAAGTAGTCCTCAAGGACAAAACCCAAACTTACCGTATGTTTTGGTAAGACTCCAGACTCCAGAATATGGTCCTGATGGAAAGATGGCATCAAAAAATAAAAAATAAAAAAAACAAAAAAAAACAAAAAAAAAACCTCTCTATATAAATATATATTATATAGCATTTTCAGTGAGTGCTTTTGGATTTTGCAAGGTGCATTTTTACTCTTGTTACATTATGTGGAAAACTTTGGCTGATTTATTTAAGGGGAAAACAAGTGTCAACTCTCTGTTCTTGGAAAGCGTGTTTCTTTTCCTTGTCTTTCCTTTTTTTTTTTATCCTTTGATAGATCCATTGCAGTATGGGGGGCCTTTTGGGAACGGACTGGTCTGTAAAAGAAAAATCCATAACCAGCAGCTTTTTGGTCTTCCGCCTCTCCCCCGAGCACTTACCCAAGACTAAAAGCCACAAGGAACGTCCCTTTTTCGATGACTTTTGTACCGTGTAGCTGTACTCCGAGCCCTTAGCACCCATCCCAAGCATAGTATGACCGTGTCAAAGGGTGACAACCATTGAGCATGTCGTTGGCAGGTTTTTTTCTGTCGTCGTTGTTTTTGTTAGTAGGAAGAAACAAAGACGCCCCCTCCCGTTGCTCCCCGAATTGGCATCTCATCGTTGGCCCCCACCTTTCCGTTTTGGCTATGTGTGCAGTAGATACCGTGTCCCTGACGTAACTGTGGCTTACAATGTTGACATGTCTCAGGTCCCTGTGTTTTCGATTGGTGTTTTCCGTCTCAGGTAGATTGCAAAGTGTAGGCCCCACGCATTGGAAAAATAATAATAATAATAATAAAACCAAGCAAAAAAACAGGAAATTAAGGATTTTAGTTGTATATTGGTTTATGTATTTTTTCTTACGTATACAGTGCACTGTTTGAAAATGTATTGTTGAGTATTACTTTGTACAGGTTGATCACTTTTTTTAGAGTGAAGAAAGAACAAACTTGGTTTTTTTTTTGTGTTTTTTAAAGGAATATAAAATAATGAAGGATGTATAATTGATGCCAAATAAGCTCGTTCTTTAGTCACACCGACCGTCTTCTTTTTCCCTTTAGGCCAGTTCTGTTTTTAAAGGTGTACATGGACAATGTGACGGTGTAAGAAACTCCATATTCCATATGCTCCCATCCGCATTTTGTATTGGTTCATGTATACCATTTTTACAAAAAGAAAAGAAAAAAAAAAGAAGTACTATAAAATATCTGTCTTCTTAATAAAAAAAAAATTAATGTTACAAAGTGATCCTTTCATCTCATTATGGACTTCTTACGGGCGCCTGGGCATGAGCAAGGAAACGGGGTCCCGGGCACACACCCCACCACCCCCCTTCCTCCTTAGGACCCTGCCGGAGGGGCGAGCACGTGGGGTAGGTGCGGCGGCGGCGGCGCCTTTAAATGGCTTTTCTTCTCCCCGCCCCTTCCGGTCCTGCTCCTTCCGCTTCCGCTTCGCTTCCGGCTCAGCGCTGACACGTGGGCCAGGCGCGGCCTCGGGCCCCACCGCGTCCCTCCAGCGCTTTGTGCAGGTGCAGCGGCGCCCCTCGGACCCCGGACTCATCTCCTGCGCCCCCACCCCGCCTCTCTTCCCCGCTCCCGCCCCCCACCCCCCTGTCGGCTGCTTCACCCGTCCCCCCGCGGGACCCGTGTCTGAACTCATTGCGCCTCTTCCTTCCAAGCTCTCTCCGCGCCCCCGGAGGATGCGCCGGGCCCCCCACGCCTTCTAAGACCCTTGAGACTTGCAGGCCCGAGCTCGGCAGCCGCTGCTGGTGTCCCCCTTGCCCCCTGCAGGGCGACCCACCCGACGGACCTGGCGTGGCCCACCTCCCGGGGCCCCCCGTGGCCTCCTCCCAGCCGGGGCTGAGCTCTTCTTCTTTCTCGGACAGGTCTTGGCGGCGGCTCGGCAGACGAAGCCAAGGTAAGTTCCAGAAAAGCCCAAAGGCTGTGTCCCCCTCCCGGCCCCTTCCTCCCCCACCCCCACTCCCACCCCGCCCCCCTCCCCCCTTCTCCCCGCTTGATCCCTGGTGCCTGTGTCCCAAACGCGGTGACAGAGCGCCTGCCTGCCTGTCCCCCACTGCCAGGAATGGGGAGGTGGTCTCCAGGGCTGTGGGGGGACTGACCTCCCAGGGAAGCAGTGCTGACTCCAGCCCCACGGCCCCGAGTAAGGGCTGCCAGACTTTCTTGGGGGAAGTGATTAGGATGGCCGACTTGGGGCCTCATCGTCCCGGGCTATCCCTGGCCGAACCTCAGGGTGGCGACGGGAGGGCTGCACGTGGACAGTGGAGGAGGCAAAACGGCTGGTCAGCAGATGCTGGTGCTGGTGCTGGTGGCATTGGCCTTATGCTAAGCCAAGGCAGGCAGAGGCATCCAGACTGTAGGGGCTCCTGGGCTTAGTAACAGCTCACCCAGCCCTGGCCAGCACCGCTGTCAGCACTCATGGTGGGTCCCGGGTGGAGAGCAGCCAGTGAGACTTCTGGATGTTGGTCCCTGATCGCCCATTCCCTGGGGAGCCTGGCAATTCTCTCGCCACCTGGCTGGGGTGTGGAGGTCACCAGAGAGGCCGGTAGGGACAAAAGTGGGGTGAGCAGGAGGCGGGTAAAGCCAGCACTCCCCAAGACCAGGAGAGGTGCCAGCAAGACAGACAGGACACCAGGAGCCCTCTCCCCACTGCAGACCCCAGCCCAGACCGACAGCCACAACCCCTGGCAGCCCCCCTCCCCCGGCCCCAGGCAGGTGCGTCATGGTTGTGGTGTGGGGCCATCCATTAGCCCTTGGAGTTTCAAAGGGGGTTGCCAAGGTGACAGCGTGTGGTGGGGAAGCTTGAGGGGCTTCCAGGCCCCCTCACATGGCACGGAGCAAGAGTGCCAGCGTCCTCCAGATATACCCGCCGGAACCCGAGGTGTTATGCGGGTGTTTATCGGTGCAGTCTTTCACTGGCCTCGGTCTGCTTGGATTGTAATTCTTGGATGCCCTTAACTCTCTCCATGGAGAAATGGTCCTTTGCACCCGTCACACGGGACCCACAAGCCGCCACCACCATCACAGGTGGGAAGTCGCAGCTTCAGGGAGAGCGTTTTGTCTGTGGCCTGAGTCATACTCAGGTCTCCTGCCTCCCCAGGCAGGAATTGCTCAAGCCACGCAGGCAGCCTCTGGCGTCTCTCCCAAACCCAGGGTCATGTGTGAGCTGGTGGCTGCCAGTTAAAGTCATGGACTCAGGGCCAGTGAGAGCAGATTCGTGGGGGCCCGAGAGAGAACAGAGCAGGCAGAGCACTTGTCTTGCCTGCTGCAGACCCGGTTCAACTCCCACCACCACCCCACTGGGTTCCATC